AGCAGGCAAATGTGCCTTTAACTCCACGATACGTTTTTCAAGACACAATGCCAAATTTCCAATGGCCGCGATAACATCATCGTTGACATCGGCCTTCTCCTCATGCTGGTCCGCTGGAGTGCTATATGATGGTGATGATGCTGGTGAGGGCACCGGTTTCCGTATAATAGGGGGATGTGAGTGGTACGGCTGTTGCCGCCTACAGGGCTCCACGGTCCCCGCGCGACAACTGCTCCTTGCCTGCTCCAGCACCTCCAGCAAAGCGTGGTGCAGTGCGCTCAACTCGCCGACGCCAGATGAATTCCCCTTTCGAGTTCCTGTTGAACTGTGCGACGTGGTGGTGGGATCGAGCTCCACGGAAGTGTAAGAGGACGGCCGCATCCCAGAGCTCTCCACCATCACCATAGGTGAAGGCGAGGGCGAGCCGGGCGGCGGGGCAACTGCGAAGCGGCGGTGCTGCCGGAAGCTGTGATGGCTGCTAAGCATCGTTGGTAATCCTCCATGAGACCGTGTATGTGGACACTTCGCATCTGGACTGCTCTCGCGCGGCAGAGCACCCAGGTCTTCCACTGAGAACATATTCTTTATCCTGCACAGTTGTGGGCGCTGCGTAGACAACTTCGAGGATGATGACTGTCGCAGTGTCTGATGAAACGGCTCTGTTGAAGTATTATAATCCTCGTGTGAAGATGATTGCTGCGGTTGCTGTGTCTGCTGCTGTTGTTGCTGTTGCCGTTGCTGCTGGCTATGCTGCAACTGGAGGTCCAGATTGGCAAGAGCGTTTCTGTCGTCCATGCTCGCCCCCATAAAGGCAATGGACCGAGCAGCAAAAGCGAAAGAATTCGTCAGGCATGAAAAGGGTGAGGGCATATCGTCTCGACGAGACGTGGCTGACTCCATTTTCTTTTGGCGCATGGAATTCCACTGTGCCCCTTTTGCTTCTGCATCATGGACGATGCCGTCATCCTCATCATCACCATTGCCGATACCCTTGTCTACATTATTCTCCCCTTCCACCTCCTCCTTCGCCCAGTCCGCCATGCGCGAGCCGGACGAAGATGATGATGCAAAGAAGAACTCTTCGCCTACACGTGGGCCGCTGCGTGTTCGACTTCTCTTTTTTGTGTGGGACAGGGACTTCGGGAGTGGCTCCATGCCACTGGTACTCATTAAAAAGGCATCCTCAGGCGTGACGGCGTCGGGTACATTCACACCCTCGACCGCTTCCGGACCATGAGCATCACCGACCTCCGCTTCCCCTTCTCCTATATTGTCATCTTCCACCTCCCCCTCATCATCACTGCTGGAGGAGTAAAAAAAATCACTTTCCCGTCGCACAGTGCGTCGGCGCTGAATGAGGGACTTGCACCGCTCAGCCTCATCCGGTTCCTGGAACGCTACGAAGCTGCTGAGCACGTGCAGTAGCTGTGCACGCTTTAGAGCCTGCAAGGCTGACTTCATACCCTCATCTGTGGCTTCGCTGAAGATGCTGAAGTGCAGCAGCTGCGCCGCCGTTGGCCGTTTTGATGGGTCTGGGTTAAGACAGGCGGAGACAAACTCCACGATGCTTGGCGGCCCATCAAACAGCGGAGACAGGTCTGGAGTGTCGTGCAGGCCCATAATGTATTGCGTCAGTCCTATTGGCCCCTTGACACCCTTCATGTATGAGAAGGGTGGCTTGTTAGTCGCCATCTCCAGCGCGATGCAGCCGAGTGACCAAATGTCACTGGGAAAGCTGTAGCCAATAAGGAGACCATCCTCGTCCTTGTCGCTGGCAGCCATGCACTCCGGGGACATGTACAGCAGACTACCCTGCATCTGGTACAGCAGTTCACCTTCACCGACGACCCGCGCCGTGCCGAAGTCGCCGATTTTACCCTTTCCCTCTGCACTCAGCAGCACGTTAGCCGTCTTAAGGTCCCCGTGCACATAATGCATGGAGTGAATGTACGAAGCACCTTCTACTATGTCGCGTAAGAGGGATTGATACTCCTTGAAATCAAGTTTACCCTTCCGTTGTAAAAGCTGTTGTAGTGTTCCACCCGCCGCATACTCCATAAATACGCGTATAACATTCTCCTCTGTTTTTTCCTCACAGTAAAAGTAGTGAATGATGTTGGGGTGCTGCAGCTTGCACATGGTGGATATCTCATTAAGAAATTGTTCAATCTGGAGGTCATGTTTCCCTAGTTGCATTTCCTTCACAGCCATCTTACCTCCTGTTAGCACTTCCGTGGCTTCGTAGACTGCACCGAATGAACCTTTCCCCAACATTTTCCCACGCTGCCATGCCCCACGACTGTTCTTTGAAAGCGTTTCACGCGTCTGCACGATGCGCTCCGCCTCGACCTTGTACTGCGCGATCATTTCTTCTGCTTTAAAAATACACCGTAGAGCCTCTATAGGCGTGCATGGTTTCTTGAGAGTGAAGAAGCCTGCCGCATGGTAGGCCTTGACACTTGATTCTTCCATTTCAGAGCCGGTGATCACCACCGCGACACGCCCCGCCTTCTCTCGCAACAGAGCGATCGGATCAATTGCTGTACCGCTGCTGCCACAATTACCACTATCACCGCTTTGAAAGACGGACTGATGTGGGTCAATAAAGAGGATATCGGCAACGTCAATGAGTTGCTCCATCTCATCCAGGTTGTACGCAGGAAGCACCGCGTGTTTGCGCTCCCACAGAAAGCTGCATAGCATGTTACGGTGCGCTGGTGTGTCCTCCACGACCAGTGTCGTAAAGGTGTGCTTCGCCGCAGGAATATGACAGCTGTTGGAGGGCATGCCACCGCCCGAGTTGGTGCCCAGACTCCTCAGTGAGTAGCTTCCAGCACCACTCAAACTTGTCGAAGTGTCAGGGCATTGAGGGCGACGTTTCATCCTGTTATCTACTTCCTCGCGTGCGGGAACAAATGGCACCACAAATGTCACACTCGTGTCGCCCGGGACCGATACTACCGTCATGCTGCCACCTTGCCGCTCCATTGCGGCACGAACACGATGCACCTGCGGGTACTTATCCGAGGCACGTCCATGTTGAATGTCGTCAAGAAGGTCCACTGGGAACCCCGGGCCATCGTCGTGGAACTCAATCACGAGAAACTCCAGGCCGTTGTTCTCCGTGATGCTCACTGTGATGGTTACCTGAACATGGTCGAGGTGGTGCGTGCAGTTACTCATGGCGTATCGCAGGCACTCTGGAAGGGACTTGGCGTTAAGGTAGGCGTTCTCTGTGTAGAGGCCTTCAAAACGTTGACAGACCGCAACGTCGTTGGCAACACACTGAGCTCCATAATCCATGATCACCTGACCGAGCATCTGTCGTATGTTCACAACGTGCAAATCCTCCGTCGAGGCCATCATCGCACGACATGTTGTATCAAAACTGCTCAGCACAGAAGCAATTTGGTGCAGACGTTCTTCATAGGTGCAATCACCATCCTGAAGCACAGTGCTAATCTGATCTAGTAAAAGCTGTGACTTGTCAAACGCCTCATGCGGACTCACGCGTTGTTCCTCTCCGACAGCTAGCATAATCTCTGCGGCATCGGTTCCATGTGAGACGATCGACGGCAGAACAGTGAGATGAAGCCGCGCCTTCGTCAGGCCATCAATACGCGCGAACGTGTAGAGTGTACCTCTTCCAATACCCTTCTCTTCAAAGAAGGCCTCTACATCGCCAGTATACTGCCGTGCATCACATATGGCATCGTGTATTGTTGTCTGATCCTTGGCCTCTAGCAAGAAAGTATATATATGCTGGCCAATGGCCTCCTGTGCCGTGTAGCCTGTGAGGCGCACCATCATCCCATTCCACATCAGTATCGAACCATCCTCGCGTAGCCCAATCATTGCGAGAGAGTTTGCGTGCAGTGTTGTTAGAGGAAAACGAAACAATACATTCTTTGATCCAGGCACCGCACCATCACACCCACCATTTTGGGTGATATTAGTAGTAGTAGTAGTAGTAGTAGTAGTAGTATTTGTAATAGTGCCTTGCTCATTTGCCCCAACCCTGGCGCCGCCGCGTCCACCGTTGTCATTTACTACATTAGCCTTTTGCATCATCAAAACCTTTTCCTTGGGGGCGGGGATGATGATCTCTCCGCACGCATCCACCGTGTCTAGCAGCGCACTCTCTCGCTCTTCCTTGGAAGCCATGCGCTTTGCGCGTTTCCCCAGCAGGCTCAGCTCCGCCTTAATGCGGTCATTGGCCTCGTCCAGGTAGTGTGTGTAGATCCCGCTGTTAACGACGTACTCCTTGAGGTTATCCTGGATAGGCCCAATAATCAACTCAAAATGCTTCCGCTGAATTTGTGCCGTAACGACACGCAGCGATGACGCTACAACGTCCGCGACGGAGAGGTGATTAAACACGAACTCCAGTTCCCCCACAACGTCACCTTCCTTGAGGCGCAAGATCTCGCGCTTTTTGCCCTGTTGCCGACCCACCACACTCACTTCACCCTCCACGATGATGTGCATCCACTTTCCAGGCTCACCAAAGCGGATGATGTACTCCCCTTGGCGGTACATCCGTGTCACGAGCGCCTCTGCGATGAGCATGCGATCGTAATTAGACATCGTCTTAAGGAACCCCACGTTGAGCAGCAGCTCTTCATACTTCTTCCGCTTATGCAATGAGACCGCAAGGATGATGTGGTGGTACGTGTGCTGGTCCAACGTGTAGAGGGTACAGTTTGTCACACAACGAATTGTTGCAGCGCAGAGAGGCTGGTGATACATCATCTCCAACTCCCCAAACGTGCTACCAATATGTAACGTGTGTACTGCTCTGCCGTTCTTGATTACTTCGCATGTTCCCTGCGTGATGAGGAACAACTTCTCCAGCGAAGCACCGCCTTGTTTCAGAATATCTGTTCCCGCCAAGTACGTCTCTGGACGCAACGCCCGCACAATGATTGCCCGGTCTCTACTATCCATGTTGCTAAACAGGTGGCACGCCATGACCCCGGCACGAACAACCCTCTCCTCCTCAGGGGTCTTTTCAACAACCGGCGGTGTATAACTTTGTATGACGTTTAACGGCAGCGACTCCGCCGACACTGCGGCGCGTCGACCGTGAATCATCTGCGGCACACCCTCACTGCTCACCACCACTCCCATCAGCGGCGGTGGCGACTCATCAGCCTCATCACGTTTAGCCTGTTCTACCTCACCATCTCCCTGGGCTGACTCGGTGCCCAGATCTTGTTGCTGATCCTGATTCTCTACCTCCTTCACCTCAAGACTTTTCATTTCAGATTCATTTTCTTCCAGCAGCGTGTCCTCCCCGATTCTGTTACCGGAGGAGGCAAAAGGAGCTGGCGGTGCCACGTTCATGGAGGGACGCGAGTCGCAGTTAAGCGACAGCTTCGCTATCATAGAAGATGCCGACGAGACTGTGACGTCGGCGCCGTGGGTGTCTGTTGTAGACGGCGCCGACAGTGTCCGCCTGTCCAACTCGAGCAGCTGCACAACCGACACAAGTGTGCTCTCCTTGTCGATGCCCTCGATGAGTCGGGTGATGTGCGCACGCAGGCCCTCGACGCTTCCCGGCGGCGACATGAGGAGCGCGTCGAACTCAAGCAGTGAGACATCTGACGTGCTGCTCGCCCGCTCCGGCGAACGCGCCGTGGTTGCCTGCATGTATGTGTGTATAAAGCAAAATAACAATGATAATAAAAAAGATAATCCGTAATCAGGATGAAGTGCAAACTATGCCTTATCAAATTCCGCTTTCCTTTCTTATAAGGAACAAAAAAAAAAAA